TTTACATGATATATCGGTTAAACCTTCGATTTGCTGGCAAACCTTGTTCATTTTTAAATTTCATTTAATACCGGTTCTTTAAGACATAACATCAAGTTTTACTGACATTAGATATATTTAAAATCAATGTCATTTAGTTTTCCCAAATTTTTACACACACTTCTCTCTCTCTCTCTCTCTCTCTCTCTCTCCAATGGAAAAATTATTTTAAAAAGTAAAATATTTGTTTTATTTTATAATTTCTATTAATATATTTTTAAAAATATGATTTTGAATGATTTGTTTCAAAATAAAAAATCACTCGTAAAAAGTATTTGAGACCATTTGAGTATCAATTTCTCTGTCAATTGTTTCATTATTTTCGTAGATGTCATTTGTATTAAGCAATTGACATGCGTTTTGATCGACGTCTTCGTAGACGTGTTCATAATTAAAGTAATTAGACGAACGACTGGTCCGTATTATGTCATAATTATTTTGCTCACAAATATCCCAAACCTCTTGCGTGTCATTCAATTGCTTTTGTGACTTATTTTTATACAAAAATATTAAAAACATTAACAAAATGACAATAAAACACAACAGTATTAAGCATCCAATGGATATCAATAGTAATCGATGGCTAAGTATCTGATCAAAGAATGTACTGTCGATCTCACACTTGAGCTCCGGTTCAGTCCATTTGCCTTTAATGCACGTCCGGAAGGACTTTGTCCGCGGACTCAAAACAGTGTCCATACCATCGATGGTAATGTTTTCACAGGAAAAGCTCGCTATAGTGTGGCTATTAGTGGTGTTTTTATTATTAATTATTTTGAATTCAGGCCTAAGATATGTGATGTGAGGCGAGGTTTCGGTCAAATTGTCAAAAAGATCGCAATATGTCCTCTCAATACAGACGGGAAACTCTTGACTCCAATCGCCGTTTATATCGCACACCACATGATATCCGCTGGACGTAAACGGATGTATTTCATAGCCTTCTTCGCAACTAAATTGTGTGTAATTTTTGTCGGACGATATGAGTGAGTGTAAGGGTTGGTCGGGTGCCCCGCAGTCATCCCACGGGTAGAGGAATAGCTTTAGCTCACAGAGCGCTACCTTTAAACTCTGGACATTGGAGTTATCGTTAGTGAAGTTTAGTTGGATTGTGTCAGTCATTGTATTTAACGGCAAACTATTGGACTTATTGTTGCGGACATTGGAGTCAATGAATTTGCACTTAATGTCAATCTTATTGATTACAACAAATTGTCGATTTTGATTATTAGTCTTATTGTTGTGTCGATGGACTTCCTCACAAATAATGGACGAGTGTATGAATGCATTGATAGTTATATTCATTTCGTTTACATTTTTCATCTCTGGATAAACGATCCAAAGTTGAAAATAATTAAATATTACTTTTTTGCTCAAAACTATATTAAGTGTTTGTCGGAACATATTTTTAATTGTTATGTTATGGCAATTGGAGGGCTGGTATTTGGCCTGGTAGGCTATATTGGCAATTGTTCTAGTGTTATTTAACCATATATCTGTAGATTTTTTACTTAGATTATCGTATATTCTTATATATTCGGCAAATGTATTGTTTAGTATTTGTGCTATAATTATAGAGAAAGAAAAATAAATAAAACTTTATGAATATACAAAACTTTGCAATACAATGTACTCTTACCACAACGAGGTATAAACTTGGACCATTTGCCATTAGTGCAAACTCTGGTAGAATTAATGCCAATAATCTCATTATTTTGATCAAAACATTTGTATTTAACAACAGTGCCGTCAATAAATTGATCATTGTCAAATTGATCACTAGTATTTCTATTAACTATCGTATAGTTTGTTAGTTTATAAACACCTGGAATTCCACAGCTATTTCCAATACTATCTGTTTTATGGAAAATACATATTAAAAATACATGTATTAAAGTAAAATAAATGATTGCTTTACTAGTGATAAGCATATTTTAAAACCATAATAGAGATTATAATGTATTTATTTACTACAATAGAATTTATGACATAAAAGTTTATAAGGTTTTGACTGCTATTAACAGGAAAAAGTCATTTCCAGGAATTGCTTTTATGATTACGTGATATTAAAAGTTTTAACTCTCGGTAAAATGTAGCACGTATAAGCATTTTATCAATATGGATTTTCAATATAATTTATATACTGTATAAGATTCTTATAATACCTCAAGAATTTATGTTTATATAATTTCCCATTAAATACTTGACAAACTTTATATTATAAATATATACATATAATGTTTTTATCGTAAAAATAATTGAAATAACTTTATATTAAATAATACAATAAGTTTTAATTTTTTAATTTAAAAAATAAATTTAACTTAACTTAGAGCTATTATAAAGTAATTTATAATAAATGTCTAAAAAATAAAATTAGAGATAATTCAATTGTTTATTTGAATTTTGATTAAATTAATTCAATTACTAAATACCAAGCAATTTAAACAACAAAACTATCGTTAGCTTCTATTAAGTTATACCATAATTTATATATCATTTAACAAGCATTTGGTGCCAGACTTTGAAGAAGAGAGCACTTAATTAACCAAAACTAAAGCCCCATTCAAACCATTGAAACCCATTGTATTGATTGAATGAGAGATGAATCGTCCTTCAGATTTATTTTTAAAAAACAATTACTATATTTTGAATTAAATGGATTTAAAATAATGTACTCCTGATGTGACACATGGTATTGATATTGTAATGTAATTTAAACAACATATTTAGCACAACATAACCACTGAATAAACATGTTATTAGTATTTTGTGGAATTTGTATGAAATCATTAAAAAAGTCGAGTCATTGAATGGGTTTAAAATGAAATAATTAATTAAAGCATTAATGGGTGAGTATTTTATCTCGTAATTTGCAATTTGTATTTTGTGTATGTATTTGTGTTATATGTTTATAATAACCACTTTTAATTAATTCTATATTTAGTAAATATTTTGTATTTTTTTTAAATTTATGTTTCCACGTAAAAACTAAATAAAATATTCTTGATAAAAACCATTATTGCTAATGAAAACATGTTTATACAGAATAATCTAACAAACGTAAGTATAATGTAGTAACAAAAGTAGTCAACAAAAATATGTTATGGTCATTTTTGTACTAAATATCCGTAATGATTTACAAAATAATAAACCCTTTAATTAAATATTTAATAGTTAATATATTGTTACAGAATATTATCATAACAAACAATGAAACTATTTCAGTATATTTACAATCATATCAGTAATATATCCGGTATTTATTGCATAATTATTGTCTCGTTTAGTGCTTCAAATCAATATTTATTATTAATGTGTAAATATTTATTTAACTTTAATAGATAATTATAATAATTAAAGTCACTTAACTCTAACACCCTTGGTGCTATGTTATTAAATAAAATATTATATTAAAAAAAAGTAAACATATAACTTAGATAGTTGAAAATATTTATAAATATTTACAAATTTATTTAAATGTATTCGCAAATTAAAAATGTTAACTTTCACTCAAAATAATGTCTAAATAAAAATATTTATGTATTCATTAGATTTTAAATGAGAAAATCATTAATTTAAGAAATTCATTGATTCAAACAATTATTTGTTAAAAACACATTTAATAGTAATTTTGTGGAAAAAATTATATAAAGTTTTTGTTAAAGGTTTTTCACTCAAAGTTGTCATAAATTTTATGGTTTTGATGAGTAAAACATTTTGGTATAGAAATAATAAATAAATTGTCAAATATATTCACACAAATGTCTGAAACATAATTAATAATAATAAATTGGCAATAGTTTTACAACAGTTTTTTGTGAGTAATACTATTTACATGTAATTTATAATACGTCAGAAACAGTATTCACAAGACTTTTGTTTTAGAAATGAATTGAATTTCAAACAATTCACATATAAATGGCAATAAATTCCTAGATTCTTAATTATATATTTATTAGCAAATAATGAATGCATTGTATTTATTTCAGTGGGTTTTACAATGAATATTGCGATTTATGTTTCGGTGATTGCATTGCTGTCCACAAGAATTGAGTGCAAACATAAGGATAAGTCGATTATTACGGATGAAAACAAAGCCGTTAAATATCTCAAAGATGTGAACGAAAGGATGGCTCAGGAATACGAGAAGTATTCTGAAGTCCAATGGGATTATATGACTGATATGAATAACCACACACTCGAGGCTCAGGTATGCGATTGTGTCACTTTTATCAATTGTACTAGATCAATGTGTACACTTTTTTGCAAACTTTTTCGTTTTCCACTAAATGTTGTGCACATTAAGTCCTATTTTAATCAATGTATTCATTTGAATGATTTATTAATGATAAACAGACCAAAGCCTCTGAACTTTTTAGTGAGTTCCAGAAGAAGCAGGCGATTGACACCAAACAATACAATTGGACTCATTTTAGTGAATATAATCGGAGACAGTTTGAGAGACTGGCTCTCATTGGGACCGCAGCTCTCAGTGAAAAAGATACTAAAATGGTTTAGAGTTTAAACAATACATAATTGCATACAATAATAATTGTTATTATAATTAACTTATAGTTTATAAACGTGTCGACAGAAATGGAGGCAATATATAGCAGCGCGAAAATATGTGTGTCTAATAAATGCGATCTAGAATTGGACCCTGGTAGAATTAACATAAACTAAAACAATATTTTTAATTAAATTAAATAAATTTTCAAAAAGATTTGGAGAAATTAATGGCTGAGTCTAAAGATTACGACCAATTATTGGAGGCGTGGGTTAAATGGAGAGACGCTTCGGGTAAACAAATGCGGGAGAAATACATAAAATATTACACTTTGGGCAATAAAGCGGCTAAATTAAACAAGGTGCTCGACAAAGGTAGGGATATAACTCGTTATTTTGTTATATAATGTTTAATAAAATTAGTTGTATTTTGAAAGAGTTTAAAACATTGGATGACATTTGGCTCTATGGCTGGGAAACTGAAGATATTAAGAAACAGATGAGTAAAGCGTTGGACAAATTGTTACCCTTTTATAGGAAACTTCACACTTATATGAGACTCAAATTGGAGAAAACATTTGCCGGCAAAATGCCTAAAGACAGGACAATACCGGCCCATCTGTTGGGCAATATGTGGGCTCAACAGTGGGCCAACACTATGAAGACAGTGCCCGGTGTCGACCCCTTTCCCAATTTGGCACAGATTGATGTGACCGATGAAATGAAAAAACAAGTATTTTTTAAACAATTATTATAAATCAATTTCGAGAATATTGTATAGAATTCACAAAATTCTTGATAGAAATATACGGCAGAAAAGATGTTCAAACTATCGGAACAATTCTTTGTGGATTTGGGTTTCGATGCAATGACTGACAAGTTTTGGAATAAGTCTGTAATTGTAAAACCAAAGAACAAGAAAATGGTTTGGTATGACATACTTTTACCATGATTTGAGTGTTATATTGATATATAATTTGTGAATTTAATGTTTGGTGTGCAGTCACGCCTCCGCCTGGGATTTCTACACATCCGACGACTTCAGGTCTGTTGCAGTAATTATTGTGCTTTATTTGTTATCAATTAATTACTTTTAAATTGAAATACACGACAGAATCAAACAGTGCACTGATATAGATATGGAAGATTTGATTACAATCCATCACGAAATGGGTCACATCGAGTATTACATGCAATATCGGGAACAGCCGGCAGTGTATCGCGAAGGAGCTAATCCAGGTCTGAATCGCGCATATAGTTCACAATTTGTTACTAAAATATATTAATAATAGGTTTTCACGAAGCAATCGGCGATTTGATCGCACTATCTGTGGCCACACCTAAACACCTCAATAAGACAGGACTGTTAACAATCGACAACTCGATGAATATGAATGATATGAACATTAAATTTCAATTGAAGATGGCTTTGGAGAAAGTGGTGTTTATGCCGTTTGCCTATATTGTGGACAAATGGCGTTGGGATGTCTTCTCAGGCAAAGTGTCGGCAAACCATATGAACGAGCATTGGTGGCACTTAAGGGGCAAATATCAGGGCATTTCACCGCCTGTTAAACGCAGCGAACGAGACTTTGATCCCGGAGCCAAATACCACGTGCCCTCAGGTGTTGAATATATTCGGTAAATTGTCATTTCATTGTAATTCTCTTATTAAACTCTCTATTAATTTAGCAATTATTAATTTTGTTCATTTAATAGATATTTCGCGGCCCATATCCTACAGTTCCAGTTCCACAAAGCCTTGTGCAGTATTAGCCAATCACACGTTTCTCTTCACGAGTGCGACATCGATGGCGACAAAGAGGCCGGAAAGAGATTGAAGTTTGTATTTAGTGTCTCGTACTGTATATGCATTTCTTACTAATTAATATATTTTCAGACATATGTTAAGTTTTGGTGCCTCAAAGAAATGGCCGCAACTTCTCAAAGAGTTGACGGGCACTGAAGAGATGGACGTAAAACCAATGCTCGAGTATTTCCAACCATTGCAACAGTTTTTGGACAATGAATTAAAGGGATACCAGGAAAATGATCTCAAATGGGATTTTGATGGTATGTTTTGTTAGACACTATATTACAGTTAATGCAGTTTCAAATTGTTTTATATTTTTTGCAGTCAATCATTATTTCAAATCTTCGGCAAATGGTTTCAATTCGATTCAAGTGTTTTCACTTGTATTAAGTCTTTGTATTTCTGTAATAATTTTAACATAATTTTGTCGTTTTAATTGTCAATAAAACTATTTTATTTGTTTCATATTGTTTTTATGTAAAATAAAGTAAATCTATTTAATCATCCAATCAGTGATAAATAATGTAGTTTTTAAAGAATATTAATTAAAATATATAATACGGATCACAACTATTAATGCATTATTTAAATCCAAATAGTAAAACCATTTTAATAATAAAAATAAATACAAATATTTTCATTAAAAACTATTTATTTTATGTAAAGTTATAATTTAATGTCAAATATGTTCACAATTGCAGTCATTCTCGTGGAAACTAAATACTTAAAACAATATTTACCTTAATTTTAATGTTAAATCCAATAGTTATTGAGTGCCAAACAGTTTCTTCAATTCCTTAAGAATGGGATGTCTTTGTTTGTGGCCATCAATGAGTTGTTTGCCTAAACCCTAAGAGAATGGGAGGAATAGTGTGGGAATGCCTTCTGTTATCGGTTAAAGGTTTGACACCTTTCCGCTCGAGGACTGACGGACTTACGTTACGGACCCGCAGGCGAACTGTATCTACCTTTGGGTGCCGTTAGTCCTCAAATCTATGGCATAAACCCATACTTAGAGATCAATAAATGGTTAGTCTCTTACCTGAAGTGTCTTTAGATCCATGTCTTGAGTCGAAACCAGTGTTCAGCTCTTGAGTTGAGAGTCGTTTCGATGGAAAGATGTGTTGATTTGAGTGTTGTTTCGATTGATGTCTGAAATAATGTGTAAAAAGAAGATTAGTTAGAGTTTAGTGAAGAATATTCGTGAGAATGATTGCAATTGTGAACACATTTGACTTTTCGATCAAATGATGTAATTTTGAATTTTGTGGCAAAAAAACATTTTAAAACAAAAATTATTGCAACAATTGGTCGACAATTTAAACACATTAAGCGTTAAAATGAATATTTTTGAAATTTTTTAAATGCTTAAAATTTTATTCAATAATTGAAATACAAATTTATAACAGAATACAAACGGCTTTTTATTAAATCAATTCAATATTATTTACATAATTAAATGCAAACAAAATATTTAACAAAATATCGTTTTAAAACATTATAAACACAACTTTAAGTTAAATGAAAATGAAATAATGAGGACCAAGGTAGTTTTAAATCATAACTTTGGATTCTTTGGCCCAATTCTTAATGGTATTGATCATTTGACTCGACTGTCCGTTCGGCGCGTTTCGCAATAATTTCAACACTTCTGCCACCGATTCTCTGAAAGTGTTCAACAAATTAACGCTTGTTTTCAAATTGTCAGTCAATGCATACTTTGGCTCTTTATCTGCGATAACCATTTGCATGACTCCGGCGGCGGCCCCTCTCTTGCCCTCCCAGTACTCGGGGTTGGGATCGAGTTTGTGGAGTGCGTCCAACGCCTTCATGGCGTACAAGAAGTGTCCCATCTTTCAGGTCATATCAAATCACATCATTAGTACACGTATTGAATACAAAAACCAAACCTTATAGCAGTCGTTGGCAATCAATTGCAACAAATGAAACGCTTCGGCGGAGTTGTCTCTCTTGAGGTACAGTTCCCACGCGTTTCGCGGCTTCTTATTCATGATCACTGAAAATATGGCAAACGATATGAAAGAGAGAGAGAGAGAGAGAGAGAGAGAGAGAGA